TGTGTGTGTGTGTGTGTGTGTAGGTGAGTGGATAGAGACAAACCTACAGACAGAGCAAATGTGGCCCAGGGTTAACAACTGGTGGATCTAAGAAAGGACTTTACAGATGTTCATTGCTACTTCTTGCACCTTGTCTGTAAATCTGAAATGTTTTAATACAAAGTTGGAAATAGAAAAAAATACCTGCTGTCTTTGTCTGTTCTTTCATTTATAAGAGGAATCCATCGACTTGTTACCTACGATGAAATTAATGAGTTAAGCCATGATGTAGATCTTCTTTGAAAAACACTATCCCTTAGATCTTTAAAATTCAAAACTGAAAATCAATTTTGAAAGTGCCCCATTAAAACTTAACTATGAGGGCTGGGAGACGTAGCTCAGTGGCGTAAGCGCCTGCCTGGCAAGCGCAAGGTCGTGAGTTCGATCCCCAATACCGAAAACAAAACAAAACAAAACAACAAAAAACACTTAACTATGAAATAAACTAACTAGATATAGTCATGCATTCATACCTTATCAATAGAATGTTTATTATTAACAGCATAAACTATGCAGATGACATTAGCCTAAAAGAAAAATTAACAAATTAGTGCCATTTAAAACAAATTATAAACAGTAATATTTATTTACCAACTAGCTAATATATTAAGGCCAAAGGAAAAATAAATCTGGAGAAAAAAAAAGCTTGCTTTGTAACAGAAAAATATTCCTAAGACATTACAACTTACAGCAAAAATACACACACAAAATCAGCAGTTACAATAAAGAATTAAAATTCTTGGTGAGAAAATGAAAAGAAAAACAGAAAAATCATCACTATTTTTCCACCAAAACAAACCTCTCCGCAACTATTTTTTTTAACTCACCTGTGATATTTCTTGATGAAGTTGCTCATCACTCTGTTCGGCTTCTACAAATGACAAAAATTCAGCAGTTCGTATTTTAAGCACTGTCATAAGTAAGTGCTTTCACAGTCAAGTTAAGTATCGACACCACGCCCACCTAACATCCCTCAAAATGACCTGGAGGTTAGCATCAGGCTAGGTGGAAAGACGGGCAAGCCAGGGAAGAGCCAGGTGAACTATGCCAAGGAAACTGGCTAGCCATGCAAGACCAGACTACAAGAGGATAGCTCAGACACAGGAGGGCAGGGCCAGTGTGTGATAAATCTAGGCCCGCATCTGGTCCAGAGTTGAGGAAGGTCAGGCAAGAAAGACCAGCAACCCCAGCTGGAAGACTGAGTGCTTCAGAGTCAGCAGTTCAGACAGAGTCCCTACACACAAAGTCAAAGGCCAAATGAGATGCTGAGATACTGAGATCACCTTGGCTTACTTGTTGCCTTCCCCCCAGTCGGCCTATTACTTCCCACATGTAAACTGGTCATACCTTCAATACCTTCCCACATCTTCAGTAATTAACAGATTAAGGCTTTACATCTAAGGCTAGTTATAAGACTTATTTTTGTTTGTTTGTTTGTTTTGGGTTTTTTCCCAGTATCAGAAATCAAACTCACGACCTTACGCTTGCCAGGCAGGCACTGTGCCGCTGAGCTAAATCCCCAGCCCCTATAAGACTTATTGAGGCAGAAGAGATTTGGTCTTCCTCAGCTTCTAGAACAGTACTGTCCAACAGACATACAAGGTAAACCACATACATAATAGTTAATTCTCCAGTAGTTATTCTTAAAAAACTGAAAATTTTATTGACCCTCGAAAACACAGAAAATTAAAACTTCAGAGCCGGGCGTGGTGGAGCACGCCTGCAATCCTAGCACTTGGGAGGCTGAGGCAGGAGGATTGCTGCAAGTTCGAGACCAGCCTGGCTACAAAGTGAGCTCAAGGCCAGCCTGAACTGCATAGCGAGACCCTGTCTCAAAAAGACCAAAAAAAAAGAAAGAAAGAGAAAAAGACTAACCAACGGCTTCAGACATTCTTTGAATTTAATGCGTAATTATATTCACATCTATATAAAAATTCAAAGGGAAAAAGTTACTCTTAAAATCCTATGTCAGTAAAACCTTCCTGGAAGTGGTTATATAATATACATGACATGTATACTACTTTGTAGCACAAAATTTCTCAGAACAACACATGAAAAACAGAACAATTTATATTTATAAAAAGTACTGTTTCATGAACAAATAAAACTCAAAAAAAAGGTGATCAGAGTACTATAGGGCAACTAATGCCCTGGTCTCTCAAAATCCCTCACAAAATCCTTCCCAAAAGGAGACAGATTCACAAGTAGTTCAAGTTTTGTTCCCTCACGTTACTTTTTCTTCTTTCTCTTTGTACCTGCTTCCAGCTGAAACTTAACCTCCTCAGCTGTGAGAGCCCAAGTTTCTTCTCTGCTCTCCTGACTTCTCCTTAACGGTGGCCATGTCAATTTTTAATTGCAGCGGAAGCTTCCTTAGGTTTTGCAACTGGCTTTTGTTTCGGTGGAATAAATGCTTCATTTTCTTCCTCTTGTCTTTTGCTGAGAGCTTCTGCTTGTTTAGCCTTTATTGCTCCCATTTTCTATTTGCCTTCAAAAAGCATTCACCACTAGCCAATTCTTTGTCCATCTGACTTTCTGGCTGTGGTGATGGGAATGGCGTACACTCTCTGAACATTTTCAAAAGTTTAGTAAGAATCTGTTTTCAAAATCCAGATGCTAGCCAGGCATGGTGGTGCAGGCCTACAATCCCAGCACTTGGGAGGCTGAGGCAGGAGGATCGTTGCGAGTCCGAGACCAGCTTGGGCTACAAAGTGAGCTCAAGGCCAGCCTGAACTGCATAGCGAGACCCTGTCTCAAGAAGACAAAAAACAAACAAACGAAGAAAACCCAGGTGCTGGCAGCACACTCCTGTAATTCTAGTGCTTGGGAGGCTGAGACAGGAATGCCCTGAGTTCAAGACCAGCCTGTGCTACATAGTGAGTTCAAGACCAGCCCAGAACACATAGCAATACCCTGTCTCAAAACAAAACACAATAAAAAACAGAAAATCTGTTTTCATGACTTAAATTAACCTAGGGCTTCTCCTACAGACCTCACCCATTACCTGAGTAATCCACAATGTGTGTTGGGACTCTCTCAGGGGTGACATCAGCTGGAATGGTGATTTCTTCTGCCCGAGGGGGAACCTTTGCTCACAAACAGAAAAAGAAAAGTGTTTGAATATCATCAATCAAACTTGTTAACAGGTCATGTAAATTTATCTACATCAGCCCCTTTCACCCATAACTGTCCTTACAGTACTTGCTGTATTTTTTTGTGTGTGTGATTCTGTTTTCATCACACTGGCTACACTTTTAAATGCTTATTTTTGTGCTTTCCCACAAAAACAAATACATATTAAAGCTACACAATAAGACCTTTTTTAAACAACCAATAATAAAAGCAAAAATATTTTTCTCTCTTTAAAAAAACATGTGCCTTTCTATCTCTATAGGCAGAGGACACATTAAAGATACTTCAAGTCTATCATAGACTAAAACAATTCTTATTTTTATTTGGTGCTTCAAATATTAGATTTTTAAAACATGTTTTTATTCTGCCTTCTTGAAAGCTTAAGATACTCTAGAAATGAGGGGCTATGTTAACCCAAAACAATCCTCCAGGGCTGGGTGCAGCCTATTTGTAGAGCACTTGCCCCACATGTACAGCCCCTGGAGCAGCTAGATCCCAGCACCTCAAAGGCTCACAAACAAAACAAAAAATTTTTCAAATAAACCAATAAATTATCAGAATTAATTTCTTCTACAAGATAGCTGCTTGGCTACACAAACCTTATGTTTAGTAACTATTTTTCAGGAAGACATGATTTTTTAATTAAAAGCCCCTTGCCAGGTGAGGCACATGCCTATAATCCCAATACTCAAGGAGGCTGAGGCTGGAGGACCTCTGAGTTCAGGGTAAGCCTGGGCTACACAGTGAGACCCTGTCTCAAAAAACCCAAAACAAAACAAAATAAAACGGTTATCGACACTAAAGGATCTATACTAAAACAATGTTAAATTAAGTTAAAATACTGCAAGAAACTTAGGTGTAATAGCCCAAGCGATTATGAATTAATGTTAATGATTCCAACCATTTATGAAACGGTACTTCATTTTGCAACTTAAGTAACTACTCGTTTAACTGCCTTATTTAAGGGGGAAAGGCCAGAGACACAATGAAGGATGACTGTATGGTAGCTGTGAACACTGAAAACACTACCACAGCAGGTGCAGCTCAGGGCAAAGCACGTGTTTCCTGTGTGCAAGACCCTGCACCGAATTTCCAGCACCAAAACAAAATCAAAAACCCAAAAGAAAAAAACAAGAAAAAACAAAAAAAAAACCCCAAAAGCAAAACAAAACACTACCACATGACATCAAATTTCTGTATAAATGATGAAATTATTCAGATATTCCTACCTAAACAACAGTAAAGAAAAGGTACATGCAAGCAGACATGAGGATGCATGCTTGTAATCCCAGCACTCAGGAGGCTGAGGTAGGAGGACTGCCACAATTTCATGGCCTGCCTGTATTTCTTGATCCACTTAAAAGGAATTGTACATTGTGTAGAAAAAAAAAAAAAAAAAAAAAAAAAAAAAAAAAAAAAAAAGGAAAAGGACAAACCATGACACCAAAGTACTACGTAAGAAAAAAAAAATACTATCAATTTCATCCATTGTGCTAATCCTAGTCCCCATAACATCCTAACTTTAAGACTCAGACTCAGCCAGCACCCCCTCACACTAGATCTTACTTTCTTGTTCTTTTCTTTTCTTTTTTTTTTTTTTTGTTTTGTTTTCTGAGCCAGGGTCTCACTATGTAGTTCAGGTTGGCCTTGAACTCACCATGTAGCTCAGGCTGGCCTGGAACTCATGGTGATCGTCCTGCCTCAGCCTCCCAAGTGCTGAAATTATAGGCACGCACCACTATGCCTGGCCTGGAACTTTCAAATCATAAGTAAATGTACTGCTAGCACAATAAAACAAACTGGTTTTGGTGGCACTTCACTAATATTAAGCTCATCCTATCTCAGACCCACAACAATTCTTTGAGAGACAATAAATTCTTCATCTGTGAAAGGAGGCAATTAAAGGTTTTCAAATATGTGTGTTAGAGGGGGCTGGGGATTTAGCTCAGCGGCATAGCACCTGCCTGGTAAGCGCAAGGTCATGAGTTTGATTCCCAGTACCAGAAAAAAAAAACCAAAAAAAAAAAAAAAGAAGTGTGTTAGAATTCTGTTGGTTTTGACAAAAATACCTCAAAGACTAGGCAGTGTCAGGCAAAAGGCAGACGGGGACCCAGACCTTTCACCCAAATGCCAGCCCACGGGGCAAGCATCATCGCTCATGTTTTGGGCGTTTGAGTAAATCTTTCTGCTTTGAAGGCTCACATACTTTAGATGATCTCTACATTCTTTTCAGCTCCCATTTTACAGATGAGATAACTAAGGCACACAGAAGAGCAATTTCCTAGATACCACCAAAGAGGTAAATACAAAGGACTCAGGTGACCTTAGATCTTGGTTCTTACTTAAGATATTCTCTATAAATTAATATGAGCCTTCTAAAAAGTTGTTACTGTTAAAACAGAAACACATTCCTACAACAACCACTGAGAATAGTTAATGATTTTTCAATAGGTCACTCATCTATAGCTCTATTTATTTTCTTTAGAAGGCACTTTGAAGATACCAAAGTATAGCACAACAACTCTTGATAATCTCCTACCTCTTTTGTCTCTAACTCACTATTATTTGTCTATTTGTTTTCCTGAGAAACTATTTTGTAGATAATAATATGTAAAACGATAACCATTGATAATTTCCTACCATTTTGTCTGTAATTTGCTAAGTCTCCCCTATTATTATGTTATCCTTCTTTTATTCTTTAAAATAAAAAATAAAAAAAAAGAAAACAGAAACACATGGGGAAAAGAGGTATTTACTTCATTTTTAATTTAATTTTGATATATTTTTTAAAATATAAATATGGAAAAGAAATAAAAATGTTCACCTCTTCTGGAAATTCTTCACTGACCAGAGACATAATCAGCGATGTCTTCCCAACTCTAGCTGTGAAAAGAAAAAAACCATTACTTTAGTAATGTGTTTAGGTTCTACATAAGCTCAAACCTAGCAACCGTAAGGGAAGTCTCTCACTTGTTAGCTAAAACCAAAGGCATCCAAATTTAGTACAATATGTTAAAGTATACATAACATTTTTTAAATAGCAATAATAAGCCATTTCATTGGCAGCATTTCTCCTGCCTCAGCCTCCTGAGTGCTGGGATTATAAGTGTAAGGCTCAATGCCCAGCTATAATTTTTAAATGTTATCTTGTAACAGTGAACATCAGGATTGTTCAGTTTTCACTTTTACAAACAATGTTGTTATTACTTTCTTTTTTGTACCAGGAATCGAACTCAGGACCTTGTGCTTGCCAGGCAGGCACTGTGCTATACCCCCGCCCATGGTTTTTTTTTTCCGGCCCATATTATTACTGTTTCTATAGGACAAATTCCTTGAAATAGAACTCAAGTTATCACTCATGATCTTTTTTATTTTTAACAGCTACTACTAAATTACCTCCAAAAAATAAACCAATTCATACCCTCACCAGAATATCAGAGTGCCTGTACCTCTGCAGCTCTACGTTGTTTCCCTTTTAGAGAACGACATTTAACAGGTTAGCAACAAATTAAAAAACAAAGAGCATTTCCTGCTACATTTTCCACTCAAACCATTTTTAATACACAAGCCATTTTATTTTATTGTTTTGTACCAGGAATCGAACTCAGGACCTTGCATTTGCCAGGTAGGTGCTTGTGCCACTGAGCTATATCCCTGGCCCCACAAGCCATTTAAAAAATCTTACTTTCTTCTAAAATTTGACTACTGTTCCCATGACCTTTCTGATAATATAATTATTACTATTATTATTATTATTATTCAAGTGCTTATCTGCTAAATTCTTTTCTACTCCTAGAAGAAAACAGTCCACCTGCCTGTTAAATCTCTGCCACAGTAGCAAATTACAGTTTTTAAAAGTAGAGTCTAGGGCTGGGGATTTAGCTCAGCGGCACAGTGCCTGCCTGGCAAGTACAAGGTCATGAGTTTGATTCCTGGTACTGGAGAAAAATAAAACAAAAAAAAAAGTAGAGTCTAAATATGGAAGAATGAAAACTTTTAGAGTTAGGAACAATCACAGTTCCTTCCTAAATGACTGAAAGAAAGGGTGAACTAAAAACACCAGTGAAGTCTCCAGCAAAATACTGAGAGGCCAAAACACAGCAAGGGGAGTGCCGGGGCCCAACAGCGCCAAGGCTGTGCTCTGAACAACAGAGAGCTGCTGGTGCAGGGACAGATCAGGCGGCTAACAGGTGTCTTCTGACTGATTTCCACGGACCTTTCCAAGGGGCTCCTGTGAGAAGACTGGGGCATTTTTCAAGTGGCTGGAAACAAAGTATCATTTCACTGAGCTGTGACGGGTCTGCCATCATCACAGAACTCTCAGACCTAACCAAAAACGTCACCTTATTCAGCTCTCTGCAAATTTATCAAATGAGTAACATGGGACTCAGAGACAGTGACTTTCTTAAGAGCTCACTGAAAGATTAGTCGTGGACCTAAAAGCATGACCTATCTCCTGGACCAACACAGTGCTCTTGCTAGAGAAAGAGCTTGAACTAAAGAGCTTTAACTTATACAAGTTAATAATATAGAAAGGGAATGACGATCCCTAAAGTCAGCATGCGGCACACACACAAATACTTCCTAGGTTATAATGAAAATATTCCCTGATTCACTGGTGACTAATCCAACAGCCCGGGCTCACTTTGACTTTTTTAAACTTATTTTGAGAAAATCTCACACTTACAGACAAACTGCAAAATTAGTACAAAGAATTCATGTCTCTTTACCCAGATTCTCCACAAGTTAACATTCTGCCGTATTTCTAGTATTCTTGCACTGTCTGTACGACACAGACTCATAACTGGGTGAGAAAAAGTGTATCTTAGAGTACAGCCTAAAAGCAAACTCATTCTCTTACACAACAAAGTATGTCGTCAGGAGTAGTAAGTTAGCTGGGCGTGGCACATGCCTGTAATCCCAGCTACACAGGAGGCTAAGAAACGAGGACGGCAAGTTAGGGCCAGCCTGGGCTATAAAGTGAGTTCAAGGCCAGCTTGAACTGCCTAGTGAAACCCTATCTCAAAAAAACAGACAGACAAAAGAAAAGAGAGAAGAAAGTAAGAAAGAGAAATTAACCATAAATGTGACTATTATTATCTACTCTATAGACTTGATTCACATCTTACATGTGCGTATCAGCCTTTATAGAAAAGAAAAAATCATTTTTATTTTTGTTTTTGTTTTCTGGTCCAAGATCGAACACAGCATTTAGTTGTTATATCTCTGTTATGGTTTGTGTTTGGGTGTCCCCCCAAAGCTACACGCAGTCATGGGGCGGGATTCTAGAGTTTATGATTGATTCACAGTCCCATGTTGGAATTATGGATGTAAGTGCTACACTTGCCCTGGGGCAGGCAGTTTGCATGCAGTGTAAAGGAGGGAAAGAGGCTTGCTCTTCCAGCTGCCGCTCTTCCCCTTGTGCTCTTGCTGCTTTTGCTATCTTCCGCCGCCATGAGCAGTTGCCCTCTGCCATGTGCCACTCTGCCCTGGAGCCAGCCAAGTATGGCCTGAAACCTCCACAAACTGTGAGCTAAATAAACCTTTCCTTGCTTAATTTTAGGCATCAGGTATTTTGTCTCAGCAACGAGAGAAAAGTAACCAAGACTGTCTCCTTTAATCTGAAAGGGTTTCTTAGTTTTGTCTTTCATTAATTTAACATTTTTTTAATGCTGTAACATTCTGGGCAGAAATATCCCAGAAGTGATGGTATCCTCAGTGCATTACAACAAGATGCAGAGGGAGTCAGTTTGACTCGTGGATAAAGTGGTGTCCGCCAGTTTTCTTCACAGAAAGTTATTATTTTTCCTTTTGTAATTACTAAGTATCTGGGGAGGAGAGGCTCTGAAACTGTGTAAATATAAATATTCTACCTCTCATAAAACTTTTGCCTGCTAGTTTTAACACTTACTGGTGATTCTTGCCTGAAACAAAAATATTGCTGAAGTGGTTGCTGGATAATGACTTTCTACCTCTAGGTAATAATATTCCGTATGGGTTATAACCCATAACTATTGTTATTTGGAGACAAGTTGCTCCACTTTACTTTTTTTTCCAGTTCTGGGGACTTGCTAGGCAAAAACTCTACCACTGAGCTACATCCTCAGCCCAAATTTTTTAAAAATTTGCTTCTCTTAAGAGCAACTGGAAAGCTATGAATAGTAGGCAGCGGATGAGGCAATGAAAAAAACTTAAATTACATTGTTCAATTTGTTTTTAGTAAACATTAATGCTGAAATTTCAAGTAGAGGACAGGGGAGGGGAGGGGGCGGGAGGGGAAGAGAATAGGGTATTTCTTACCAGCTGTCACACATTTCCAGGAAGATTAAGGAACAACTATTTCACAATCACTCATAGGAAACTCAAAGTCAGAGGAGTTTTTTGTTCACCCCTGAATTTTAGCTCCTAATAAATCACATGGTGCTTAATGCAGCTGTACAGCTTACTGGTTTATTTATTTTTGTTTTTGGTTTTTGGTTTTTCTCCGTTACCGGGAACCGAACTCACGACCTTGCGCTTGCCAGGCAGGCGCTTTTGCCGCTGAGCTAAATCCCCAGCCCCCAGCTTACTGGTTAATAGCATGAATGTGAAATCCAGCAAAGTAGTGGGTTACTACAGAGAAAACAGGATAATGAAATGAGGAGTAACGAAATGACTGGTAACATTTATTTCTTAAGTTGGCTGATAGGTGTCTGATATATTATTTTTATATCTTTTATATAAACATATCACAAGAAGAAAAACAACAGCAACTATAATCAAAATAATGACACAGGATTTTGAATCAGACAGAACTGGACCAAAATCTTAGTCCCAATACTTAGTAGCTCTGCTGTGTGGGACAAGTTATCAAGCCTCAGTTTGTTCATCTATGAAACTGATTACTGACCAGCCTCACAGAATTAAGAGGAGGAAGACAACTGGGTATAATGTTTAGTATACTACCTAGCATATATTAAGTATACAAATACTTCTGATGATGATGATAAACTTAAACTGAAGGCATTAAGTGAGCACTGATCAGGACCAGGAAATCTGGACGCTTCCTCATCAACTCAGTAGAACAACCTTTTTCCATGTCTGCTTTTCCCATGGATCCCCTACATTCCGCTGTTATTTTCAGAACAGAAACACAAAGATGAGGACAGCCAGACTTCACAGCTCATCTCGCGTCTGAAGAGAAGCACTGCCTGCCTGACAGCACTGGCTCTTGCTAAGGCACAAGTTGCCCAACAGGTCCATTCCACAGGAGATGAGAGGAAAGGAAGCGCCTTGGCAGGGGAGGAGGCGCTGTAAAGGCTACCATTAAACAGCGTTCCTTCAACTGAAGACGATATACAGTAGCATTAAGAAGTGAAAATAATTCAGTGTAAGTTACTTATGTCAGTTTCTACCTTTTAGGGGGATAATTAGCTTTAAGAGTGTGACTTGCAGCCAGGCATGGCGGTGCACACCTGTAATCCCAGCACTCAGGAGGCTGAGGCAGGAGGATCATTGTGAGTTCAAGGCCAGCCTGGGTTATAAAGTGAGCTCAAGGCCAGCCTGAACTGTATAGTGAGACCCTATCTCAAAAAGAAAAACAAAAAAAGATATAAATATAAAGAGTGTGACTTTATTTACTTACTCATATTTTGTCTCACCTGGAAAAGAATTTGAGGCAATTTAGCACACACTACAATATAAAAATTCCATATAGTTTGTTAAGGAACTGTATAGTAAAAGGCCTTCTTTAAAAATCAGAGAAAAGGGCCAAGGACATAGCTCAGCGGCACAAGCACCTGCCTGGTAAGCGCAAGGTCCTGAGTTTGATTCCTGGTACAAAAAAAAATTGGAGAAAAGAAAGGGATCAAGAGATTGTGGGGTAAGAGAAGGGTGAGGGAAAG